ACTACAGCTGCGCTCAGGCATCTATCAGCAGGGCCGCGCCGTCTTGCTACTATCTGGGACGCGACCACATTCATTGACGGAACTGGTTCCACGGGCTCCACGATACGGTACCACTGTGGCTCATAAAGGAGTCACATTGGCTAGGACAGCTTCAGATGTACGGCGTCGAGGGGAATTGACTGCAAGAGTCCAAGACAGCTCATTGAATGGGCTATTGTCTCACAAGTCAGGGAGACTCCTGTTCTAACGATGACGACAGTGTATTTCTCGGCCTGCGTTGAATTTCGGCTGCTTTCAAAGATAGTCGTGCAGTCGAGAATCTGCATCGGTATTTGGCTTCTACTGTTTCATCTGAGTCGCGTAGAGACTAGGCAGACTGTCCACTAGTTTGTGGTCGATTCTCTGGGCCCCCACCGACAGAAGCGCCTGGATCCACGGTGCAGCCTTCTGGAACCTCCTGAGGAAAGTATAGAAGTTGATTGACGGGGCTGAGCCGATCGAGAGGTATGTTGATGGATGCGCGCGGTGGGTTCTGCTTTCACATCTATTTGTGTTATCTGCCACTCCTGAACAGGTCGAGAGGCAAAACTGGAAACTCCCGGGGATGTGGGCCCGTTGCTGGGTCCGGAAAGAGGATCCCCCCATCCGCAACTAAAGATCAACGTCGTTCGTCTACTTCTTCTAGTGCCTGAACCGGACCGTCAACAAGTCATCCAGGGACATCATCGGACCCATGGTCGGTTTGGACAAGTAGCCCGTGGTTCTTGATGCGGGAGGAGTGCATTGAGCCATTCCCGACCATCCGCCACGTCAGCCGGACGAATTTTTAATCGTTGACAGATGATGGATGGATGAATGAGCTTGCATTGAGGGCCGCATTCGACCATCTCAGTCGAGTATCACATCACATCGTAGTGCAGGATCTCGGCAGCGGCTCTAGTAAGGAGAGGGGGGAGAGAGGATCCATGGCAGATGACGAAGCCTCTGCAGACCTCTTTCGAATTTATCACATGGCGAGACTCGATGCGGCGACCGAGTTGGACAGAGAGAACAGGGGATAATTGATGTTGGGACTGATGCAGTGATGTTTGGAGAGGAGGAATGCTGAAGTGAAGTCGTTAAGTTGAAGTTTGAAGTTGAGGTCGAGGTTGAGGTTGGAGGAAATGGAGGAAAGTTTGAAGGATCGGAACGGTGGGCGGCTTCCTGAACGGGACTGGGAAGTCCCTGTAGACTTCAATCTCAATCCATCTCAATCTCAATCTCAGTCACTTCATTTTCTCTCTCCTCCATGCAATTTTTCTCTTTCCAATTGTCATCTTCCAGGAATTGTTCTCAAGCATTATCACGGACCTGGACTCTCCACTAAAATCTACTAGAACTACCCACATAGTATACACATACTGTTTGTGGTTAGATTCCAAGGGTAAGCTTTCTTTGAGCTCATTGTATCGCAGAATTAAGTGGTATAGGGGAATTGGCATGCACCTACAACTATTGAAAGAAGGAGTGTGGGGTAAAACGCGCGTTCAAGCAGTCGACGATCCGCAAGATATTCGACATGCAGCCAGCTACCTAGCTACCTGGCTCCGAAAATGCCTTGGATGGTTGGATCTCCCTTGCTGTCATGGAGTATCCTTGCCCCCGCCCCCTCCCCTCTCCCCCCTGATCATCAATGAGAATGGGTCCTGAATTCTGGGGCAAATCACATCTCTGTATTGGTTTTTGCAATCCATAAGTGCCAATGCACGGTGCACTCAGGGGATCTACAATACCTACTTTTAGCGGCTCACCGAATTCGGTCATACTGCATCACTGCCCGATGTTCGAGTACCTCTGGTGGTTTTGCTTCAAGTTGAGGACAAAAGTTCCCGATACAGATGTCACAGGAATCTTCATGTCTGTTTCCATCCTTCTGTTCTTCACATCACTTGCATCCAGGGACATTCATACTTGCCTACGTACATCGATCCGCCGGCTGCAGACAAGCTTCGACGTTGGAGCTAAAAAGACGCCTCTGGCTCGACTCCTTGCTTGAGGCTTGCTTACCGGTCGGCGTGGCGATAATTCCGCCGATCCCCGGTCGGAACCCGATTGAGACAACTGGAATGGCACTTGAGGATTGACTGATGGCTTGTCGGGATGCGCAGAGCTAGACTGGATGATTGAACATTGCCCCACTCCAAGCTGCAGTGTGGACTTGACATTCCATTCGTACTGCGAAATTAAATATAGAACACTCCCAACGATGTCGACACACAATTCCTTGCCCCATCTTCGTTGTTTAGTACTCCGCACTATCGGGAGAATTGGCAGAGCACGCTCCATCTCAAGAACCAGCTCGATCGCTTCCACCATTCTTTGCTGTCCTGTACCTGCGTCGAGCTGCTTCCGAGCACCCTGGGCTTGTATGACACCCCTATTCATGATGTCAGTGGGTATTCGCATCTGGTAGATTGCGTGGCGCCAGGTCACACCGCGCACAGCCGAACCTGGTCTCATCTCCTCTGTGCTCGGACGGTGGCTGGTAAGTCCGCCGCGTGCCTATCTAAAGCTACACTGACAGATCGACTCCAGGAGCTTACTTACATCCATGATGCAGCCATCGCCTATCTATTTCGACATGCCCGACAGAGTCCCAATCTTCATGCGACCGGGCTTGTTCAACCCAGAGCGGGTTCGACTTCCCTCCCGTCCGACGCTGCGCAGTGCTGCCGAGGATGGCGGTGTCACCTGCATGAGCGCAAGGACCAATCTTTAATTCTGCAAACCGGAATGAGAGCGACAGGCGTCACACCGGGGAGGCAATGCAGCCGTGCCGGCGGATGTAAGTTTCTTGTCATGAAGGTCTGCGCGCAGGCTGCTGCCACTGTGGGGAAGGCAGGGAGGTAGCTTGTGTCTGATTGTCAGTGCGAGGGATAGTGGCGTAATCCGCACCATTGCGTCGTCAGGGTAATTTGGGTGACGTTGGCCATCTTTTCGAGGTGCTCTGAGACACGGCAAGTTTGCCGTTGGAGAGAGTATAATTCATCATGATTGCGCCTGGGACAGGGATATGTGCATTCTGCGCGCAGGGATTAGCTTTCAGCCTGTGGGTCGATATAGAGCCCAGAATAGGTTCTAGGTGAGTCTTTATACTGAGACAGAGACCACCTAGCTCGGTGTGACAAGACATTCACCAAGCAGAGGCCAGCCAAACCCCTGTACAATCACAGTATGATAAGGGAGGTAAGTTTATCATCTATGGCAGCGAGTCAATTGACTCCTCCACCACTCCCCACTCGCATGACATTCAGTCTAGTCAATTCTCGTGAGTCAAGAGCATGTTGATTGTCTTGAACCCTCTTTCCAGATATTCCAGCCCCCAGAGTCGGCCCCTCGAGAGCTTCGTAGCTATCAGCTAATTTGATCATCTGAACAGGTCGCAAACCTTCTCTGCTTATGTCTTAGAACCGCCTCACTAGAAGTGCTCCAGACCAGCCCGTTCACCTCTGCAACGCAAGACATTATCCAAACCTCCCCAATCTCATCTCATAGATAGCTCCCCTTGATCACAACAGACATCACATGAAACCTTCAATCCCAACCATTTTTGCCTCGAAGTCAATAGAACATTATCGATTCCCCTCTCTCTTCCCTCCAATACACCCCGATCAAATCTCATGCGATAGGGTGCCAACAACAACAATCACAACAACAATCACAACAACAATCACAACAACAATAACAACAGCAGCAGCAGCAGCAATTACTGTAAGTAACAACAAGAATAATAACCAATACGACCACTAATACCATCACCCACACCCCCAGTCCAAATAACAACCTGAATACCCACCGTGTCCCCCTAAGGTATCCAAGCACAGTAGAACGAAACTAAGCGTAACACCCGTCCCCGTCCGTCCCCATCACGTTCCGGAAATCGCGTACTGTCCAGTACATGTACCTCCTCTCCGTACTGTGCCTTGCAGGAGAAGCGAGCAGAAACAACCCAACCCAACCGCGGGATTTCTGGCGTGGCGTAGCGTGGCGTAGCTTATGCATGATGACACATTTACTTAAGGCTACTACAGTGTAAGGGATAGCTTGCTACTGTAAGGATAGCTACTGCATCGTAAGGTACAGGATTTGACACTACTTGCTGCAGTGACCGGCGCTGTGGATCGCAGCGTCAGTGAGTTGTTTGCTGAGTTCGATTCAATTTGGGGGGGAGGGGGGAGGGGGAGGTCAACACCTGCTGAGGGATGAATTCGCTTCTTAGTTTCGGGGAAACCGTGAAGGAAGGCTGTTCGTAGGTAGTTCGTTAGTCCAGTGTCGAAGAGAGGGGAGATTCCTGCAAGAAACTGCAGTACTTGCTACTGGTGGCCGAGGTTTGCGTGGTGGGCATATATATATCCATCTTCCAGCGGGAAGGACACCTTCAGCACCAGCGAATTCCTCTTACATGGTTACGCAGGATATGGTTGTGTTAGCTCTTGCTTGATCATGTTTGCTGACATCTGTGGATTCTACCACTGCATTGATTGTACTAGAATAGTAATCCGAGGAAAATAGAGCTGAATACCTAGGTATAGCTCATTCGAATTGATCTACTACCCACCCATTACGTGCGTATTAAACAAATCTCTGAATCAACCACTTCACTCCCCAAACTCCATTGCTAGTGCTAGTGCTAGTGCCTCAAATCGAATCAACCCAGCTCAACCCATTCCATCCCATCCCATTCCATTCCATCATGACACCCACGAAAACAAAACCAAACCCGCCAAACGAACCCGAGAAATCAAAGACAAACAACAAGGGAAAAAAGGGCCTATACCGGGTCCAGCCCATAAAAGCAGCAGCAGCAGCAACAGCAGTAGCAAGTAAAGGTATTGGTATTGAAGTTCAGATTTACCAGAAGCGAGAAAGGAAAGAACCGGGCGAGAAAATGAAACCCCTCTAAGAAATGCTGGCAGAATAGTTGCAATCCATTCGCTCGTAACGTACGCAAACCATACATATCACGCTCGTCGTTCTACCCGACTCAATGCCCCCAGTATCACACCTAGGTCTTCCTTTGGCCGGGGCCGGAGACTGAGGTCCTTGTGGTCGGTCGCCGAGTCGGTGCTGGCCAGGCGGCGGATGCTGTTGCGGGCGTCGCGGGCTTCGAGGCGCTCGGCGCAGATGCGCAGGACCTGCGAGGAGACGGCGTCCGAGGTCGAGCGATACAGTTCGAGGTTGTGGATACCGGCGGCGAGGGAGTCCAGCGTCGGGGCGAGGGTGCTGGTTACGCGGGAGAGGCGGGTGGAAATGGTGGTTGGGGACATTGGAGGGAGGAAGGTATCTGTTGCGGAGGTTGTTGATCTTGCTGCTGCTGCTGCTGCTGATGGCGGGTCGGTGTCCATGGGCTCGCCGTCTGTCGGCTGTGGTGGTTGTGGTTGAGGTGGTTGTTCTTGTTGCTTGACCGTCTCCGGGTCGATCTGGGCATATATTCTCCGCTGAGACGGGTCTAGTACCGATAAATCGATTGGCTCGTCAGGCCTGGATAATGATGGTTGTGAAGGTTGGCTGGGATCTGTCTCGAGCGGGTGGTTTTTGATACGGGGAATATCCGGCGGCCGTAACAGAGCATTGAGAGCATGCCGCTCTTTTTGTAGCCTATTGTCAGACGTAAGCAGTCTGGCCAACACAGAGCCCCTAAAGCGAGACGTACTTCTGTATTAACTCCTCCAATTCCTTGATCTTGTCCGCATTCTGGATGTTCTTCGGGTTCTCCTTCTTGACCACCACCGCGGGAGGATCCAGCTCTTCCCGTTCGAACCAATTAGAGAGTGTGGAGTTCGACTCAAAGTCTTTGAGGAGCTCCTCCTGTATAACACGTGCTGGGTTGTCTTAGCATGTGCATCGCAATCCCAGGAAAGGTGCACTTACCCGCTAGCCGAGCGCTCTCATCCTCTGAGCGCGACCCAGAAGGCTTGTCGCCTATGGCTCGCGTACCACACCAGATCAAAAGCTGCCGCATTCGACGCGGCTCCGTTAAGTCTGCGGCAATATGCTTATAGAAATCCGCCGTGTTGACCTTCTTATGTGGTAACGCTGAATTATCCCCGTCAGCCACTCGTGCCATGGAATCACCTGCGAATCGATAAAACCCACCGTTGGACGCCCCAGAGTCGATCAGCGAGCTCGCTCGCCGACCTCGCATCCCCAGACTACTCCGACGATTGTTCCCCTTCACGGACTTCTTCCCTCGCATCTCCCGATTTCTTTGTATGACCGGCGTGTCGGCCAACGGCAATGAAATCGTGGCCGTGCCAGCCTGCGGCGGCCCTGGAGACACGTATCCATTGCGAAGCGACGCTCGTCGTGGTGGTTGTTGTCGTTGTTGTTGAGGCTCTAATTCCGGCTGCGGCGTCGGCTGCTGCTGTTGTTGCTGTTTCTGCTGTTCCTCCTTCCTAGAATTACTAGGTCGGCCTTTCCTCCGCTTCTTCTCCAAGGGAACCGTTTCCCCCTGATCTCGTTTTCGCGTCGAGCGTTTCGCACGTTCTGGCTGTGGCTCAGGCTGTGCCTGGGCTGGAGGTTGCGACTCCGGTTCTTGCTCCGGTTCCGGTTCAGGCTCGGGTTCAGGCTCAGGCTGGCTCTCCTTCGCCTTTGCGGCTCCCCGGGTTGTCCTCTTGCTCGTTCCCTCGCTCGGCTTCGTTTTTCGTCTCGTTTTCGTGGTATCCGTAGTAGTCTCTGTCACAACCGCAGCAGGCTCCTCCGCCTTCTCCTCCACCACCTTCTTCTTCGGTGGTCGACCCCTTCTCGGAGATGGCTGCGGCGCTGTATTCAGATGCGAACTTGCCGGCAGAATCGCGGGTTGAATCTTTTCCGTCGACGGTCTGGGCTTCTTTGTCGCGATGCGCGTAAATTGGAAACCATCGTCTTCTTCCTCATCAACAGGCACTACGCACGGAGAAAATGAAAATTAGCACGCTCCGACCATACCATCCAGAAAACCCGACCAAAATCGCTGTCCTGCAAAGCCACCCACATCATCAAACCGAAAAAAATCTCAATCCATCCATCCTAACAAAGCGACTCACCTAACTTCCTCTTCTTCTCCCCAGCACCTGTACCATTCGCAGTCGCACTCGCATTCTCCTCACCTTTATCCTGTTTACTCAGCCGCCGACTCGATCGTCTGCCCCCGCCTCTTCCAGGCGCGGCAGGACGCGCCTGCGCCTGGGACGTAGCCATATCGATAGCCAGTAACGGTCCACGACGCTTCGTCTTAGCTGTAGTGGTGGTGGTGGTGGTGGGCGTCGCCAGAACAGTGACGGTCATGTCAGGGACCGACAAAAGGGGGTGAGGATGTTTGATGTCGAGTCAATTGGCCTCCGTTCCTGGTTGGAGTTTTCGCACGTCCGGTCGCTCAATCGGATCTTTTCACATCTAAGATAACGCAACCTCGTCGGAAAATGTAGCGCATCCGGTGGGAGCGCAGGCCACGTCCAAGTCGGAAAATTTTTCGCGTACGTTAAATGTCGAATGAAAAAGAGGATTATTCCGCGGTGTCGTGATCGATTCCCCTCACTGCGACAGCAGATGCGTTTCGAGTCGATGAATCGAGGCCTGCAGCCAAGCTATTTGCACCCTTTCAACAAGATTGCGCCGATGTCAATCACTGACGGAAGCAAATTGTGGAATTCGAAGTTGTCGAGGACGGGCGAGTTTGGGTCGTCGGGCGCTGCGTTTTCCTTTCCTCCGGCTGGCTCGTCGGTCGTCTCTGGGTGTAAGGCCCGGCTGGTATATCGCACGGTCGCAAATCGCCAAGACCGATCAGTAAGAGCTGTATTGTTGACGGTGTAGGTGGATTGAATGAGAGGGGGTTGGGTTGAGAAGGTTTGTTGTCCGAGAGACGTGTGTTGTCGATGCGGGTTGCGCGCGAACCACCACCCGCACAGATTGTTCCGGGGCAGGTCGCGCTCGTAGGCTATTTATCGGACGAGTAGTCAGTTCTCCCTCAGCGTCGGCAGAGCTATCGCGCTGGAATTCCGGTCCTTGCGCAGACGGAACTCTGATGCTGGCGTGGGGATGACGATGGGGGGGGGGTTTTGGCCTTGGTCAATCGGTCGGTCGCCGCAGGCACGCGGTTGTTTTGGTCGTGGCGCGTGGGGAGAAGGCGCTAGTCCTTTTCAGGATGACAACTTCCAGCTTGTCCCGCCAACTCGATTGCTACTAAGAGTTGGTGAGAAGCATTAAGTGCCAGGATTTTGGTATAAATAAATGAATTTATTCACATCTGGTATGATTACCTATTCTTGTATCAAGACTATGTACAGTCCACCCACTTTTCAGCACTCAGCCATGCCCATCACACCTCATACTTATAATCTTTTTACAAAATGAGTTTTGCAATCGCTATGCAGGCGCCGGGCCTCTAAGCGTACCTGTCAACGCCCGAAAGAATAAGGGAAAAAAGGGGAAAGCAATATACCCCGCTTGGCAAAAAAAGAGCTGCAAGAATACAGAGCATATGTAACAAGATTACAATGCAGAACATAGTCTACGGCAGAGCAGGGACATCTTCAGTAGGCGGGGCCAGACTGCCTTCAATCCGACGCTTCGCACACTGCATCTCCTCAAGAGAGATATCCTCGGATTTCTTGGGCATGTCCGGTTCGAACTGGGGAATATCGGGACGATGACCCACAGACATGCCGACCCGGATCTATTTTTGAGAAAAGGCCGTGTTAGCTTAAGAAATCATGCGTAAGGAGCAGTAAGGGGTCGTCTTACCAAAGTTTCCAAGGGCCCCTTCGAGTTGTCCACCAAGTCACTGTCGAAATTAATCGACCCCTCCTCAAAGAGCAAAAGAATGGTACTTCCTCCAAACTTAAAGTAACCGAGCTCTTCGGCCCGTGAAACCTGCTCCCCAGCCTTTCGTGTAATGACTGTGCTTCCAACCATCATGGCTCCAACACAGACCACCATGACACGGCCATGCGCCACGGAATCAATTGGCACGAGAACCCTCACATTCTCGCCATACACGTCGAGAGCTGAGCGGATCGCCATGGGATTGACCGTGTAGTACTCACCCTCAATAGTCTTGGGGGTACCCATAACTCCGTCCACGGGGATATGGAAGCGATGATAATCTTGGGGAGCAAGACGGAAAACACCCAGTGCTCCATTCCTGTAGCGCTTCACATCTTCGGGGTAAGCATCGCCGAGGAGGCGTTCAATAGAGAATTCTCGACCTTTAACCCAGATATTAGTCGCTTCATCCATACGGTCGAATACAACCGCTCGACAATCAGCAGGTGACACAACAACTCTGGGCTCGTCCGGCGCTGAGCAGGGCCGGGCACCGGGTTTCAGTGCACGGTAGAAGAACTCGTTAAAGTTATTAAACTTTTCGATGGGCAACAAGACTTCGGTCATATCAAGTTGGTGGAAGTTGATGAAGTCCCGGATCTGACTGGCAGACGCAGGATCATCGTACTTCTTGCCCTGCTTGATACTCATAGATTTCAAGATTTTGCGAACTATAATCATGGTTAGCGAGATCTTTTGAACAATAACCTTATCTCAGGTAATGAGACATACTTCTCTTCTTTTCCATTTCTCTGCTCTTAAGACCCTTGTACAGCAATCGGATACCCAATCGGACATAGACACTCATGCGCTCCTCATTGATTTGCCCAGTGATTCGGTCCTGGACAAGGATGTTGGCCGAGTTGGCTCCCAGCTTGTAGCCACCATAACCAATCTTCGTGATGACTTTAGTGTACCATTTGCGCTGCGCCTGGCTGGAGGTTACGAATCCTCCCATGACGAGGTTGTCCACCTGCCTCCAGTCCCGGCTTGCGCATGTGGCAATGTGCGTGATGATGTCGGCATCTGAACGAGAGGAGAGCCGCGGTTGATGGCAGAGGGGACATTCTCGAAGCTCAATGACGTGCTCCACACCGCGTTCATCTCCCAAATCGTCAGGTTGAAGGTCTTCCTCAACCAAGCCCGGCTGCTCTTCGGTGGGTATGGTAGGAATATGTGTAGTCTGGGGGTCATGGTTGGCTGGCAGGCCAGCGTTAAGCCCTGCAATGAGCTCATCATCACCGCTCGACTGTTCCTCGCTATCCTGGCTGATCGATGATGATGTGGGTGAAACCTTTCTGCCTGCCAGTCTCGGGTCTTTTTGGAGTGCCTGAAGGGTATCTTCTAGGCAGATCACAGCTTGATCAAAGGTCAGATCCATTGTTTCGCTGGGTTGATTTTCCAGACTGAAGCGCTCGAAGAAACTGTCAATTGTGGACTCCTTCAAGGTGGAACCAAGAGTGTCAAGCATGGTAGTCAGTTCAACCTTGTCAATACGACCGCTATCGTCTGCATCGTATTGTTTGAGCATGAGTCTCCAGAACTGCTGGCGCAGGGCACGATACGGCATATATTTGGCCTTGACAAAGAGTTCGGGCGAATGCTTGTCTTCCCATCTGTCCTTATTCTTCAAGCTGAGTGGGATGCGATAAACTCGAAGCCCTTCGCTATCAGCCTCAAGCGGGGAGACGGTAAAGTTAGCTAGCGTAGGAGAGCTTGAGAGGCTGGGAGTCTCGGTGTCTTCCGGGACACTCCGAGGTGGAAGGAGAGTCGACTCTCCCTGCTGTGACAGGCCTGACAGGGACGTAGAAGAGCCCCTTGGTGACATGCCTAGTTTAGGTGATCTAGACAGGCTGCTGGTCGAGGGAGAGGGGCTGACCGAGATCTTCGGAGCTGGTCTAGCAGCAATGTCCGATTCAGAGCTCGTCAGATCAGGAGTCTGATTTGATAAATCGTACAAGCCAGTCTCAGGATCGGCGTTGGGAGCGGATTTGATCAGGGTCTGCAATGGAAATCCGGCCGATGCGACGAAGTCATTGCCAGAGAACTTGTCTCTGTCCATGACGGTGAAGCCGATCGTATAAGAAGTTTCATGCTTCATGACCTGGAACACCATTTTCTCATTGTATACTGGATTTAGATTGTGACGAACAACCGGTGTTCGAAGCGTCTTTCTTCCGAGTGAGGTGACAACGAACGGGTCCATGTCGAAGGAGGTGCGCGTCACTTGATCAAGAGTTAGCTCAGCCATGACGAGGTTGAGGATGGACACAGGAAAACCATACCATTCCGTTCGGGCGGAAGGTCCGTCACCTTCACAATCTCCATGAACACGATACCTTGCACTCCATTTCCTATACCGGAAAACTGGTAGGCTCTTGCTGCCAGAGATTTCCGTTTCAGACGTTTAAGGCGCAGCCTCCTTCTTCGCTTTTCCACGATCTCTGGTTTGGTAGGGTCGTCCGTCTCATCCGACGTTTCTTCATCTCTGTCGACATCCTCCAGTGAAAACGAAGGTACCTGCGGGAATTCATCTTCATCGTCCCCAGCACATACCAGGGTTCTGAACTTTTGATAGACTTCTTCCGCAGGGGCATTGGGGTTTGCCGGATCGATGAGAGAGAACTGCAGCAGGATTTCCCCAGAGATGATACTGTCCTTCTTCTTCGAAGACTTTCGTTTCGAGCGAAGAGTGTACCAGGTTGGCTGCAGGCATCATGTCAACTCGCACGTCCAGGTCAGTCGCGTTCCGGGAAAATGTACCTGTTGATGGACCTCGCCGCGGCTGAATATCTCCTCGAGGGCAATGTCGAATTCGCCCATATAGTCTTTGCCGAACCGATCATGATCCCAACAGATGCACTCCAATAGTGGTACGCCGACCACGGGCATCTCGAACGTGACATTCCATTCTGGATTCAGGGTCTTTGGTATCGTGGGTGTTGACTGTCGGGCCTCTCCAAGTGTGACTATCATGTACTGAACAACAAGGTGGCTCGTTAGCAAGCGATCAGCTGGTTCAATAGCTGGAATGGGTTTTATGCCATACCGGGTCGCTGGTTCCTCCTCTGTCCTTAGCTGCTAGATTTCTCCCCTAGTACAACCCAGCAGTCAGTAATGTCGAGGAATGCGGGCGGGACTTCCGAACGGCTCCGCGAATCTGGGAAGTGCGGACTCACCCGAAGGACGGAGATCTTGAGGATCAAGGGTTTTGTGTCCGACATTCTCATGGGACTGGTACTTCTGCTTTGACCGGGAGTGGTATTGGTGCTTTTTGAACTCAAATGAGTGCTGAGCCGTTGTGGCAACGGTAAGCGCACCATGATGATGAACCGTCGGGAAGTGCGGGGAGGGGGAGAAAGCAGGCCAGACGGAGCCGGGGAGGTGACGTCGCGTCGATACTTGAGGACGGGAAAATGATCGGAGAGTGAGATTATTTAGGGACGCGTTCGTGAGCAAACAGG